CTCGCACTGCCGAATCTCACAGAAAGAATCTCCGGCTGCTGGCCCGCTAAAATCCCTGCACTATAAATCACCAAAAATAATCATCCATCAATAATCAGATCTGGCCCATATTAAGTGTCCAAACTTGGGTAAAGGACATTCTTACCCTTTACCCAACATGACCCAAAACCTAGGCCCAAACCAACAATCCAAAGGCCCAAGATCCAAATAAACACTCAAGGCCCAAATGTGGCCCAATTTTCTAAATTGTGCCCAAACCCTTTCATGGGCCTTAAACCAAGGTCCAAAAAATATTCCTAGTCCAAAAGCACTTGAATTCTGATGGCCCAACAAGGCCCAAAGCATCTAAATCCATAGATGGCCCAAACCAAAGATCCACCAATCTGAGGCCTAGCCTGCTGATTACGTTGGGCGTACTCAGCTCGTACGCGCATCGTACTCTCCTTGGGGCTTGTACGCTAAGCGTACCTGCTTGTACGCCCAGCGTACTACCCCCATTCAGCCAATCTTCATTTTCAACTCTTAACTCATTAAAACAACACTCTAAAATCCATATCTGACTTCCTTGAGATGTTTTATCACATAAAGTTGCTAACTTTACGTGTATGCATGGCTTAATGAGGCTCTTGAAGCTTAAAAGGACTTAATAGATGATTTAATGCATGCATGAGAGCACAAACATCATAAAGATTGCACCTTTAAGCTTAAGAATCTCATACTATACCCAAATCTAAAAGAACAAGCCCCACAAACGACTTAACTCATCAACCAACCCAAAAAGGGACCAAAAGCATAAAAATCAAGACATAAATAGATTTAAGCATTCAAAAGCCAAGGTATAAACTTGATACCTTAAAAGACTTGCAAAATGAGTGATGATTTTGGATCTCTAAGTTTTCCACCAAGCTATGAACCTTCAACCTTCTTCAATCTCTTCAAAATGAGCAAAACAAGAACCAACTTCTCCTCAAGAGCTCAAAAACACCACAATGGAGGCTAAAGGTCAATTTGAGGGTTTTAGGGCGATGGAGGTGTTGGATTAGGTGTCTAAGCCTATAACTATAATTGGTATATACTTGAATTGATAGTAGCACAGTCTTTTGGGTTGCCCTCAAAACTAGCAACTAGACAGGATGACTTTTGGAGAGAGGTTGAATTTATTATTTAATTAAAAAATTGAAATAAATGATTTATTAATGTATTATGAAAATAATATATTAATTAGAAATCATATTATTTAATTAATATTTAATCAGAAATTAATTTGGAATTAATTTTGAGATTAAAGGAATTAATTAAAAGTGCAGGGGCTATTTGACAATTTATTGATAGTTGATGAATTGGGCTCTTGGACCAACTAGATGGGTTGGACTAAATCTTCTAGGAATACCCTATAAATTTCGTCCAAGGGCCTCTTGGATGGAGTCCATGAGCTATTTGGGCCTTAAGTTAAGGAATTAGGGTTTCCTCCAGCTATCCCTAGCTTTGGCTCTAAGCTACCTTAACTATATAAGGAGTTGTACCCCCTCATGATTTCGGCTAACTGAAACCCTAAGAAGGATAGTCGAAATTCTCAAGTCTTCTCCTCCTCTCTCCTCTCTCCTCTCTCATCCTCTTGCTAGTGTTGGGTGTGAACCATTGGAGGCACGACATTTGTGGTGCTTGCTCTCGAAGCTTCAACAACACTAAGGATTTGAATTGTTATTACTATATAACAATCAAAGGTATGTTTTTCTAACCCTAAATATGAATTTTGAAAATTATATAGAATTCCTAGGGTTTCCTAATTGATGTTCAAATACTTGTATTTTCAATTAGAGAAAACATAGATCGAGACAATTAGGGTTGCATGCACACATATGATTGTTTGTTATGCTTAAAACCCTTCAGTGGTATCAGAGCCTTGGCTTGTTTTCTATTGAATTTGATTGCAATTGGTTGAACTTGATCAATTAGAGTTTATGGCAATTAAACCCTAAAATGGACTCCCATAGCTTAATGGATTAAGCTCTTAACCCTTAACCCCATGAGCTACAAATCTCATATCTGAATCTTCCCAAGGTCTTGATGGATAAATTTTCCAACTTTATAAATTAAAACATCCCAATAAGCCAAGATCTTAACGCATATGCCCTTAATGGTTTCACCCATCGCATGGACACCAAACTAAGTCATGAAAGTCCCCTTTCTAACCACCACCATGGTCCAGAAGTCAAGTAAGGCACATAAAGGTTCTGAAGTTCACTTAATCTCCAAGAACAAGTAGATATGGACTAAAAAGCTCATAGAATGACCTATAATTAGATCTAGAGATATAATGAGCAAGGTGAAGACTTTATACCTCCAAAGGACCAGAAATGTAATGAAGATGCAAAATCTAAGATGGAACCAAGCACACAAGCACCAAAATGAACCCCTTCTTCCTTCAATCTTCATAAAGAGGCTTCACACACTCAAAACACACACATGGAGCCTAGGGTTTGGATGGGGTATGATCTCAGAGGGTGGAGGTTGCCAAATGAGGCAACCCTAGGAGTTAGTACCTTTAAATAGGGCACAAACCCAAAGATCTAGGGTTTTGCACCAAAATAGCCACCACGTCGTGGAAAAGGTCTTTCCACGTCATGGTGCTTCGCGATTCAGTGTTCCTTAATCAGACGATGCCCACGCCGTGGTCCTTCAATCTCTATGTCGTTGCCTAGCCAAAATCCTCCAAAAATTAGGTTTTGATATAAATTAAACTCGAAAGAAGCATACCTGGAAAATGATCGTTACATGCCAAATATTAAGAACTACGATGTATCTTTGCCTCAAATGTAAACCTTGTTGGGTTGTTACCTTTAATAGCATTCGATAAACGTTGTGTGGTACATCAAATGTTGTATATCTATATCTATTAGATGATGTGGGAGCCATTGTATATAAACCTATTGTATCGAATCGATCAATGTTGTCAAGGACCGTTATGCTTGACTTTAAGGATGTCCACAAACAAAATGGGTTTCGAGATGGAAGTGAGTATTAGCCCTTTATGAGATCACAAGGATTTAATGAAAATATTTTTTCTGAGTAATTATATGCTTAATGAGATCTATATTGAAATACTTCAAAACGTCATATATATATATATATATATATATATATATATATATATATATATATATATATATAGTTACATGCACGAAACCCTATACATTATCATCTCACACGACCGTCTGGATTTTAGGCACAAATCCACACGACTTTTGTCGGGTGCCACATTTTATCTTACACTTCATCTATTATCATTATCATAATCCTTACAAGTTACAACATGTTTGTATATATGGTGAATTTGGATCTTATATGCTTTTGATATGCCTGGTCTAGTTATGCGACCCTTTAAGTTCAATCGACAATGTAAGGGGTCGTTTGATAGTTATAGACTGAGTTAGAACTTCTAACTGATTTCACATCTGACTGAAACCATGTTGTTTGATTGTATCTCTGACTAACTATGATGAATGATAAAAAATGACAATATTACCGCTATGTTGTCTCAAGAAACAAACATACACACATACTATCTTTCAAGATTTTTTGCATAACAAATAGCACACATTCTATGATCATGGATATGGTATTTTTAAAATAACAACGAAAATCCAATCAAACTGCCATCAAATAGTTCAAAAACAGGTTACTAAAACAAACCAACACACATAAGGCAAAAGTGATGGATCTTAAATACAACAGTTGAAGTATGCCATGACCTAATAAAACATTCAAGTTTACAACACACAGGACCAACAAACCAAAACTGTGTATTCGACTTATGAAGATTGAAGATTGAACATGTCATCAATAAGATGTTTTGCTGCATTCTCATATTATCTCAAACCATGTTAGCATATGGGTACGATTCTAAACAATCAAATCAAAGTTCTTTGACATGAATTTGACAACTTTTTAATAAGAAAAACATAATAATTTACCTACAATAGCTGCATGAAAGGGTTTGTTTCGAGAGTTTTGAAGATATAGAACCATAGTCTCATTGTTTTTGATGTTGAAATCTTAAATTGCTATCTCAATGGCTACTTTGGCCTCTTTTCTAGGCCTAGAAGTTTGATCAAGAATCACACTAATGGTGAAATCAACAGTGAACAATGATGCTTGCAGAAAACCACATATACACACATTCGCAAGGATTCATCTGTTTTCAAGCATTCATCTGATTTTAGCCAATAAACTAACATAAATTCAACATACATAAATTTGTAGCAATATCGATTGAAACTTGTGAAGGTTGAGAAAGAAAAAATGAGAAAGAAATCATACCTGAGAAAGAAAAAAGACAATGGAGGAAGGAGGAAGAGGCTGTAGAGACGGAGAGAGTTGTGGAAGCTACATGTTCTTCAATTTCTTTGTCTCTCTGTTCTGGCAATGGGTAGGGCAAAACAGTGATAAATGGTGTTGTTCTAGTCATTGTCATTTTTCTTATGGACCGAATTAGAAGAAAGTAACAAACCAAGTCTCAATTTCAAACTGAGTACCAATTTTAGTTGGACCTAGTTAGAAGCCAAATCAAAGACCCTAAGTAAGTTTCATGGGCAAGTGCAAATACTTTGACAAAATGTAGCAAGAAAAGATATATGCAGTTTATATCTCACATTCAATAAATATAAAGATACTTGATAATATACATTTATATTATTATATGCATCTAGATCAACACTATTTAATAACAATTTATAACAATTTATGAAGCCAGCTTGATGAGACATCCAAACGAGTAAACACTGCTCGACTAATAATTCCCGATTTCACTCACATAAGTGGGAACAGAAGAGGAAGAAACTAGAAAGCGATGGAATCGAATTCGACAAAACGACAACGTTTAGGCGATGCATATGATTTTGGTCGCTGACGTGGACCAATGAGATACGAGTTGTCACGTGGCCCAGCGCGGGCCTGAAATTCGATTACTGTGGGTCCTATCTTTTTCTCATCCCTTCCCTTCTGCTTTCTTTGGATTTCTTAGTCAATCTTCAGCGGCAACTTTTGATTAGCTGCCGGCGATCGGGATTCATATCGCCGCTTAAGATACGTAATAGATTCAGAGATGGAGGAGGGATCGATGGGAGCTTTGGTGCCGGCGGTGAAGTCCGAAGTAAACACAGGGTCATCTCATGATTTACAGTGGGGGTCCGGCGACAGGAACACCGTCGAAGGAGGAAGAGGATCGGAAACGACGGATAGGGAGTTTTTATGTCCGATTTGTATGCAGATAATCAAGGACGCGTTTCTGACGTCTTGTGGACATAGCTTCTGCTACATGTGTATCATCACTCACCTTGACAATAAGAACGATTGCCCTAGTTGCGCTTCTTCACTCACCACCAACCAGCTCTTCCCTAATTTCCTACTTGATAAGGTTTTTATCTATATATCGGTACAATTTTTCTCGTTTTCGGGTTTTCTTGTTATAGTGAATTGTTAGGTAACGAATAATTAACACGAATTAATTGGGAAAGGAACGATCCATGGCGTGGACTACCTAGAAACCTAAAAGCCAATAATGAGAAATAATTCTGATATTGCTTATGAATTTTTATTGGTAATCGAACCTTCAAGTGGATCTGATGAGTTCTAGATAGTTCAATCGCAGTAATATCAAATATATCATAGAAGGGAGGCTATATGCCCTTCTTTGTGCTCGTATCTTCTGCAGTGTGGGTGCTTAATTAGCGTACTGATTTGTTCTTTGTACACTTCCTTAGCTATGCCATAAAAGTCTAAAACCTGACTCTGTTAGCTGTATCTTATGGACTACATATATGAGTATAGTGAGGTTTTTCAAACGTACTTGGTAATTGGTAGTATCCTAAATTATCTGCATCTTTTCTACTAACCGATTCTTTATTCCAACATGGTTTGTACCTTGAAATAATTTAATTCACAATGCAGCTTATTGTTAAAGGTTTCTCTATACCAAATGTAGCTATTGAAGAAGACTTCTGCATCCCAAGCATTAAAAACTGCCTCCCCATTGGAACAATTTCGCCAGGCATTACTCCAGGTAAGTGTTCATTAAGTAGTATAATCACTATTTTTGCTTACTGTTAACTAAATTCCATTAAACCAAACTTGTATATTAAATTGTTCAACTGTTATTGTGACACTCTTTTGTGATCATTAGACAGGGTTATGAAGTATCAGTAAAGGAACTCGATACACTGCTGTCACTTCTTTCTGAGAAGAAAAGAAAATTGGAGCAAGAAGAAGCCGAGAAAAACATGCAAAATCTTGTTGAGTTCCTCCAGTGCTTAAGGAAAAAGAAAATTGATGAACTTTCTGAGGTTTGTATCATTGTCTCATAAATTTCTATTTCTTCATTAAACATCATATGACCACATTAATGGATCAAAGTATTTTTCAGGTGCAAAATGATGTCAAGTATATCAAAGAGGATATTAGCTTGGTGGAGAGACATAGAATGGAATTATATAGAGCTAGAGATAGGTATTCGGTGAAAATGCCAATACATGGTGAATTAACAGGATCAAAATCATGGTCTTCTTCATCAATAAATAGAGACAATCTTTTAGTTCCTTCTGGGAAATCACAAGGTATCCAGATGAAAGAAGCTTCCAGTGGATTGAGTTCACAACATACAACAAGTCAATCAAGTCTTGCTGTTACACGAAAAAAACGTGTTCAATCTCAGGTCAGTTTTCACTCTACATTTTTATATTTCTTGTGTAAATAAAGATCAGTTCTAACTTTTTGGTGAAATTTTTAAATCATTTCATGTTGATCAATTTTCAGTTTAATGACCTGCAACAATGTTACTTGCAAAAAAGAAGACAAGTAGCAAATCCATTACAGAATCTTGATAAAAGGGATGTTGATTCTTCACAAAGAGAAGGTTATAGTTCAGGCCTATCAGATTTTCAATCTGTACTTTCTACTTTTACACAATACAGGTATCCATCAATGATTATTTCTACTTTTTTGTAGAATCTTTTCAAGTATTAATAACTTTTTCCTTTTTTTTCTTTCAAAAAAAGTCGATTAAGGGTGATTGCAGAGCTTAGGCATGGTGAACACTTTCATTCAGCCAACATTGTATCCAGGTATAACCTCATTTCAATGGTAAAAAATAAAGTACCATTTACAAGTTTCAGGTTACATATTATTATTATCTGTAGAAAAAAAATAAGAAATAAAAGTAGGATGTTATTATGTGGCTTACTACAGCATTGAGTTTGATCGTGATGATGAATTGTTTGCTACTGCTGGAGTTTCAAGGCGTATAAAGATTTTTGACTTTTCAACAGTGAGTTTTTTTTTTTTTTTTTTCTTTCTGTTCAATAGTTAATAATAATAATAATGGCTGATTATGGTTTGAAATGGGACCCACGCACAGGTTGTAAATGAACCTCCAGAAGTACATTGCCCTGTTGTGGAGATGCCAACAAGATCAAAACTTAGTTGCTTAAGCTGGAACAAGCATACAAAGAATCATATAGCTAGTAGTGATTATGAAGGAATAGTAACTATCTGGGATGTGAACACACGACAGGTAATTTGATATTGTTTATTTACAATCCTACCCTTCTAAAATTATTCAATTATTTTATTAATTTGTCATAATATTCAGAGTGTGATGGAGTACGAAGAACACGAAAAACGTGTCTGGAGTGTTGATTTCTCAAAGATGGATTCATCAATGCTTGTATCCGGTAGTGATGACTGTAAGGTACTATTTACAATCCTACCCCTCTAAAATTTATAGTAATGAAATGATTGAAATCTAAAGTAGGTTGGTATTTTGTCATAGGTAAAAATATGGTGCACAAAGCAAGAATCAAGCGCTATCAACATTGAGATGAAAGCAAATATATGTTGTGTCAAGTACAACCCGGGGTCCAGCAATCACATTGCGGTATTTTATTTATTAAAATAACTAAAATAAATATCTGTCTTTTCATTTACAGTTTATTTAAAAAAATAATTGGAATTCAATTGACACACAGGTGGGGTCAGCAGACCATCATATCCATTACTATGATTTAAGGAACACAAGCCAACCTCTTCATATCTTTCGTGGCCACCAAAAAACAGTTTCATATGTAAAGTTTCTGTCAAATGCCGAGCTGGCATCTGCATCGACCGACAGTACTCTGCGCTTATGGGACGTGACACGAAACATTCCTGTGAGTTGGTTACTTTTTTTATTTTGTTTATTTATTTATAACTGATTAAATTTTTTTTTTAATATGTTCAGGTTCGGACATTGAGAGGTCACACAAATGAGAAAAACTTTGTGGGTCTTTCTGTAAACCATGACTTTCTTGCTTGTGGGAGTGAAACTAATGAAGTATATGCGTATCATAAGGTAATTAAAAAACTGTTACATTTATTTTTTTGTTATTAGAATGGAAATTAATAATGATGGAAGTTTTATGGGGTGGTTTCAGGCGATATCAAAGCCGCTGACGTGGCATAGATTTGGGGCACCTAATGTGGAGGATAGTGATGAGGATGGAGGGTCTTATTTTATCAGTGCTGTATGTTGGAAGAATGATAGTCCAACCATGTTGGCTGCTAACAGTCTGGGTACTATAAAAGTTTTGGTGCTTGCACCCTAAGATGGATCCTGACCGTTGATCTAACTCTCATTATATATTATTGTCTTGTTTGTATTTGTAAATACTAAATGCTACGGATAAGTTCATATCTATAGGAAGAGAATATGTGGTCTTTGTAATTTTAGTTTGTAGGAAAACCATTTTGATTGTAATTTAAGCAGGAATTTTGTTTTCAGTTGTGTAATCATATAAACTTTTTATAAGATATAGTAATGTCATTAGCTAATCTGTTCAACAGTTGCATATCTAATTATTTTGAACATATATGTATGTTATAAGCGTTAATTGGTTACAAACAAATTATCTTTGTGTCTTTTTATAATTTTATGGTTGCCAATGTCAAATAGTTATAAAAAAGACGAGAAACGAACATATATGTATATATCATAATAGCGTTTTGCTTTGTTGGTAACTTGACGATAAATAAATGATAAAAGAACATCATTTTTTTTATTAATATTGTTACAATGTTTGATCCATTGTTTAGCACTTGACATTATATAGCTTCTGCTGCTGCTTTCATGGCTTCAAACCTTGGTTCCTTGGCCTGAAACTTCATGCCAGCATATAGCTTCATGTAATCATCAAACACAAATCCTGGATAAACCCCTTGTTCTTTCTCCACCAACAGTGCTTTTGCTGGATAAATCACAGCATCATTCCCGGGGTTGTAGAAAGATGCAATCGACATTCTTGTTCCATCTGTTTGAGCTATAACTCTGTGCATCACACTCTTGTATCTTCCATTGGTAATCACCTGTACGTGATCCATGCACATCCACATGCACATACATAAACCCACTTAATATATAAAGGTATATTTAATATTAATGAATTAATGTTAATAGTTCTCTATGGTCTTACCTCAATCTGGTCTCCAAGGTTGATGACAATGGAATGTCGCATGGGTGGAACATCAATCCATTCACCATCCTTGAGGAGCTGAAGTCCACTGACTTTATCATCTTGAAAGAGCAAAATAATGCCACCAGCATCCGTATGTGCTCTAAGTCCCTTAATCAAATCTGGGGTAGGACATGGTGGGTAGTTGCTAACTTTGGTTCCAAAATTTGGACCTTTTGACCCATGAAATGCTTTCTTTAGGTACCCTTTCTCCAATCCAACATTCTCACACAACAAGTCCAAAAGTTCCTCAGCCAACTTTTCTAGTTTACCAGCAAAATCCTTCATTAAATTCCTGCATAATATTTCATCCCACATAATGGAAAGAGATCAATTTACATATATATATATATATATATATATATATATATATATATATATATATATATATATATATATATATATATATATATATATATATATATATATATAATGTATATATATTATGTTTTCTTGTTTACCTGTATTCATCCTCAAGATCAGGGATTTGAGAGATATTGGAGGTGGGGAGATGTCGCAGGAAGAAAGTGCTCTCCCAGTCCATGTTGTTAACTTCTGTCTTAACACCTTCTAACTCCTTTTCTGCCACCATTTCTTTGAACCTTTCCTCCATAGATTTCTTGTAGTGGTCTTTTGTCATTCTTTCCACAGTGTCGAGTAGTTCATGTGAAATCCCATGGTTCACTAACTACACATACATATAACATATATACATACCATTCAATCCATATTAATTGCACTATATATATGTTTGATGGTAATTAATACGAAGATATATATACCTCAAAGAATCCCCAGTTCTCGCAAGCATCCTTAATCTTCTCCATGGTGGCTCCTCTTTCTTCACCATTCAGCTTCTCCAAGTTGATCAAAGGGAAGTTCTCCATCTCTTTGTTTATAGAGTGTTTGTTTGATTATTTTGTATGAAGAATGTAGAATGCATGATTGGCTTCATACTATTTATAGGAAATTCGGCAATCTTTCAAGATAAATTAGGCATGCTTTTGCGAAGTGGTAAAGATTGGAAAGGAAGAAAAGATCGACCCTTGACTCATCTGGGGCCTGCCTGACATGACCAAGGATTCTTGATGCTATAGGGTAATCCTTTTACTTAAATTAAATACACATTTTATAATAAAGTTTTTGTCTCTGCCTAGATGATCACACTGTTAACGTTAAGTTGGGTAGAAATAACTAATAATAAGGACCCACTTTGGCGGCTAAACAGTAAAGCATGGCTGCTAATGCGTTCAGTTTTGTCTGTTCCTCCCTCAAAAACATGCATTTTTTTTGAGTTTGTTTCAAAATAAATACAAGGAGTGCTAAATAGTTTGTCGAACTATAAAGCAAACCTAACCAAATAAAAAGGTTAAATACCTACCGTAGGAGTAAAAACATGTACATATATACAAGCTTGTAAGTTATATGCACAAATAATGATATATACAAGCATCAATTTAGTTAAGCCTTCGATATTTTCACAAAATTTCAATCATACTCACACTTGTGCAAGGGACAACATAAGTTATATGCACAAATAATGATAATCATCTAGAAACACCTTACTACTTTTGACTGTACATGAATGTTTATCTTCACAAAGCATCCATTGATTTCTTAATGGTACACAACTTCTTGTCTTATATCCCTTTGTTTTGACATATAAAACATGAGTCATGGATCAATCATATTCATATAAGCTCATCATGCTTTCTTGATTTGTGAATGAATAAGATCAACATAGTCATCTAGGTAGGGGTGGCAAATCGTGCTATCGTTTCGTGTTTCTGTATGACACGACACGACACGACAAGGTTTTATGTAACACCAACACGACACGACACGATGTCGTGTTTTTTTTAACTAACACGAAAACGAACGAATTAAAAAACGACAAACACGACACGACACGACACGACACGACAAAGATAAAATAAATAAAAATTAGTTTATTTAATGAATACTTAATCATACATAACACGATAAAAACGACAAACACGAAAAACACGACAAGGAAACGCTAAATCGTGTCAATTTTGTGTCGAATTTTGAACACGAATACGACACGACACGACATCGTGTTTTTGACACTTAACACGAACACGACACGAACACGAATTCAAAATTCATTTTCGTCCCAATTTCGTTTCGTGTCGTGTATTTTTGTCGTGTCGTGTCATAAATTGTCACCCCTACATCTAGGTATGGTCACACCCTTAAATGTATTCACCCCAAATTGTATGACACTCCAACAATTAGAGGAAAGAATCTCATAAGTGTCCATACGTTATTGTATGTGAATGTTTTGCACTTATTGTTAGATTGTAATAAAATGATTGAAAACGGAAGAGAAGATTGAGAAAAATGAGTTTCTCATTGATTAAGAAGATCTCCTTCTACAAAGCTTATATACATACAGTATAAATAACGACTGTAACAACTTTCTAATCAAAATTACATATATGCCCTTATAGTTATGAACTAATAACTACTTTGTAAACCAACACCCCCCCCCCCCCTCAAGCTGAAGGGTGTAAATTCAGCTTGGAAACAACATCATCATGTGAAGAACCAGATAAGGGCTTGGTCAAAACATCCGCTAACTGCATCTTGGTGGGAACATGATGTAATGAGATTAAACCATGAAGAAGTTTTTCTCGAACAAAGTGACAGTCGAGTTCAATATGTTTGGTTCTCTCGTGGAAAACAGGATTAGATGCAATATGAATTGCTGCTTGATTATCACATTTGAGTGGAATAGGAGTGATATTAGTAATATCGAATTCATGAAACAAGCGAGTCAACCATGCAAGTTCCGAGCATACTCTTCGCATGGATCGATATTCAGCTTCTGCGGATGATAAAGAAACAATAGCTTGCTTCTTAGACTTCCATGAAATGGGTGATCCTCCAAATAGAATAAAGAAACCACTTACATACCTTCTGGTAATTGGACACGAAGCCCAATCAGAATCACAATAAGCATCAATGGTAAAAATGGATTCGTTGATGAAAAATAATCCTTGAGCTTTAGAGGATTTTAAGTATTTCAATACATGTAGTACAGCTTCATAATAATCTTGAGTGGGATGTTGATTGAATTGACTCAAGTATTGAATGGAATATGCAAGATCTGGTAGAGTATGAACTAAAAAATTCAACTTTCCAATCAATTGTCTGTAAGTTGTAGGATCTTCAAGAGGAACTCCAACATTGAGTTGTAACTTTGTTTTGTTTGGCAAAGGGGTAGAAACAATTATATTGTCATCAATGGAGTAATGAGAAAGTAATTCTCGTATGAACTTACTCTGATGCACAATCATTCCATTAGAATTTCGGGTAAACTCAAGACCAAGAAAAAAATTGATTGTTCCTAAATCTTTGATCCGAAATTGAGCATCAAGAAAAGCTTTCAAAGATGTAATTTCCTCAACATTGTTACCAGTAACAAGGATATCATCGACATAAACAACAACGATGGTAAGAGAACCATTACCCTTTTTTAAGAATAAAGAGTAATCAATTTTTGAATGAACATATCCTTGTTGATGTAAAGTTTGAGTTAATTTGGCATACCATTGACGAGAGGCTTGTTTTAATCCATATAAGGATTTGTTTAATTTGCAAACCAGATGTGGATTATCAACATTATAACCAGGAGGTAATTTCATAAATACTTCTTCATGTAGATCTCCGTGTAAAAATGCGTTATTAACATCCAATTGTTGAATATCCCAGCCATTTTTGACAGCCAAAGCAACTAAACAGCAAACAATAGTGAATTTAACTACCGGAGAATAAGTTTCGTGATAATCTGTGCCTTGTTGTTGAGTAAAACCTTTAGCAACAAGGCGTGCTTTATGCCTCTCAAGTGATCCATCTGCTCTATACTTGACTTTGTAAACCCACCAACATTGAATTGGCTTTTTACCCTTGGGTAATTTAACCAAGCTCCATGTGTTATTATCAATAAGAGCAGATAACTCAGTTTGCATAGCTTGTTCCCAACATGGATTACCTTTAGCTTGATGATAAAAGGCAGGTTCTGGAACTTGAAGTGTAGTGGTAAAAGCAAACGAATGTAAATGGTGATTATGGTCTTGAAATGAGGAAGAGGATGGAATGCACAAATTGGTTAAGGTATGAGAACAATGGTCATGAGAATGAACATTGTTACAAATATAATCTTGAAGATAAGCAGGAGGTTGTCTAACACGTGGAACTCTTAAAGTTTGAGTTTGAGTTGGTTCAGGGGCAGTTCGGTCATTTGGAATGACAGTGGAAGAAGCATCTGGAGTATTTGGAAAATCAGGGGCATTATTGGGAATAAAAGAATTGGATGTATGAGGTGTTGGTGTTATCAAGTGTAGAGGAAAAACATCTTCCACAAATTGAACATCTCTTGAAATTTGTATGGATTTGGTGGCCAGATTGAGAACTTTAAATGCCTTTTGTCCAATTGGATAACCAATAAAGATACAAGGAGTTGATCTAGGCATAAATTTGTCTCGATGAACTGAAGGTGTAGCAACAAAACAAAGACATCCAAAGGACCTAAGTTGAGAAAGATCTGGTTTCTGATTGAACAAGATTTCATAAGGCGATTTATGATGTAATACTTTTGTGGGCATTCAGTTGATTAGATGACCTGCAGTTCGAACACATTCAGCCCAATAAGCATTTCCCACTCCAGATTGAAAATATAAAGATCTAGCAACCTCCAAAATATGTATGTTTCCTTTCAACAGTGCCATTTTGTTGAGGGGTATATATTGTTGATCTTTGATGTTGAATGCCTTTTTCTTGAAAAAATTTGGCTCCTTCATTACTAGAACCAAGCACTAAAGCATTATATGTTCTAACAAATTTCACTGGCCTTTGATATTGTGTGTGAACATAAGCAATAAAAGATTTGATGAGAGTAAAAGCATATCCTTTATGAGTTAACATGTGGACCCATGTATGTCGACTAAAATCATCAACAATGGTGAGAAAAAATTTATATCCATAATGAGATAAGATTTTATAAGGTCCCCAAACATCAATATGTATGAGTTCAAATGGATGATTAGTAGCAGAAATGCTCTTTGGAAAAGGATTTCTATGTTGTTTTGATTTAAAACAAATAGAACAAGAATCAACATGTGAATCATGAGAGCAATCAACAAGAGACATAGAGTGGAGTTTTTGAACAGGTAAATGCCCTAATCTGTTGTGCCACAACATAACATTGGAATGTTTATGCATTACATTGAAAGAACGAAAATTCAATGTATTTATTACAGAAAAACTATAAGAAAGATTGTGCTGAATGAAATGATGATCAAAGACATAAAGATCTCTAATCCTTTGGCCAAAAGAAGCAAGAGCAAATTTATCCTTTACTGAAGGGTCCTGCAACATACAGTATTCATCAGTAAAAAGAATAAATGTATGAAGCTGAGAAGCAAGTTTGGGTACAGAAACAAGATTGTACTTGAAAGAGGGAACATAAAGAACATTGTGAAGAGTGATAGTTTTATGTAATTGAACATTACCAATGTAAGAAACAATAGTATCATTTCCATTACGAAGACCAAGAAAATGTGGCTGTGAAAGTTTTGATAATGAAGAAAAAAGAGATCGATTAGAGCAAATATGATCAGTAGCACCAGAATCGACAATCCAAGAAGCATGTTCATGTAATAGGGATGATGATTTGTAAACATTAGCATCAAAATGTTTAAAATCAAATGGAATACCTTCATCTTGCATAACACCATTAACAATGGAGATATTTGACTGAGAAGATGAACCAGGGCTTGAAAGAGAATTACTGTTTAGCAGTTGAATCAATTGATTGTATTGTTCTTGTGAAATAGGTGGATATTCATTAGAAATAACGTTCTGAACTGTAGGTTTAACATCATCTTTCTTGTTCTTCGTGAATTTGAAGTTCGAAGGAAAGCCATTAAGGCGATAACATTGAGCTTTAGTATGCCCTGATTTC